GGGTGTGCAAGACTCGGTTGTCATAGCAGGAGTACTTAACCGCGGCAAATATGAACCGTCGATCGCGAGATTCACTGCGACACACATGTAAATATGCGACAGATCATCCAAACTCTCGAAGCCCATTTGCGCATGCTAGTCCAGGGACAAAACGATGCACTCATCATCGACCTGCTGCAGCACAACGCCGAGTCGGAGCGACAGAGCAACGGCCTCGAACGTCGCTACGATACAATCGCCGAGACTAAGTAAGTATCGGCTTGAGTCCTGAGGCGAGCTGCTTGCTCGAGGCTTGTCAGGCCGAGGACTCCTGGCTACCCACAATAACATCATCCTCGCACTAAAATCTCAATGAGCCCTGAACAGCCTGCAGAAGTCCAATGGGTTTCTAGAAAGTCCATCCGGCTGCAGGAGCCTTTGACAATAGTGTATTCTGGCTTTTCCTCGTGCTTACTACGCAACCTTTCCTCTTTGAACGGTGGATTGGACATGTTGAAGCGGCTTCATCTAGTGACATTCGATATAATCGGGGGATTCGGCTTCGGGTAAATCCTCTCGCTCTCTGGAGAGGTGCGATTTAGGCAATTCCTTTCGCAACTTGTTCTTCTTTATCAAAGCTGAGGCCTCCATTCGAGTCACGCACAGCTACACCCTTCCTAAGCGTAGACTATATGTCGTGAAACGAGGCAATGCCAGTATGTGATGCTTACTGCACCATATACTAGCTCGTGCGTGTCAATGATGACTGGACTAGGAACTGAGACAGTCTGCCTTGATTTTGAGTTGTGACTACAGTTGCGGTTTTCGACATCAGACGCTGATCGGTACGTGGTCACAATACAGTTTCCAGTGGTCATGATCTCGAAGATGAAACTGAATTGTTTCTTACTTACGAATCTAAAGTTATTTGTAGATACCATCGAGCAAATTATCCTCAGGTACATAATAGGAAGCCCCAGCTAGCAAATAATCCCGCTCTTGACCCAAGATTACAATATGGCTCTCAGCGCATAGTACTTCTCTCCAAATCGCAGTAACATGTGGAAAGCAAAATAGCAAATAGGTCATTGTGTTCTCTTAGAGACAATCTATTTGTTTTTAGGACTCCGCATATGATACGATCGTCATAGTGGTCAGGCTTTCGGTTGATCGATTGAGCTCTTACGGTATAGACTCTGGAAAAGATCCAACATCGTTCTTTTGATGCTTTCCTGTTACCTTTCAAGGTCTTTACTAGATCTGCTTCGCTTATTCGTGCTGTTTGCGTTTTCAGTGCTGCGCATCCTCAGTTTGCGCGGACTACCTGCACATACGATTACACTTTAACTTCCTGTCAGCGGCTTCTGCTTTCAGAGCGTGCTTCCCTCGTGCCTCTTTTCACTCCTTGTATTACATTCCTTGGATATCGTGACTCTCATCTCGTTATCAAAAGCTACGGTCGCTCCGCTAGACTCGGCGCTTACCTTGTATGGTAGTGCTGGAAATTTAGTGACCCGGCTTGCACGCCTTCAAGGAACACGTGTAGCGCAAGCTACTCCACAACATAGAGTCGCTAAATGTTACGGGGATAATTCTATTTGTATTAGTGGGTAGCTATAGGCCAACTAATCAAAATATTCTTCCATTATCAACCTTAGAAAGCGCTTAACGTGTGGTAGGTGGGCATCTCGAATATCTACGTACACTATTTCTTTGTTGGACAACTCCTTCTTACTTAGGTTCAATATAGGATGGTGTGCTTCATCTCGTTTAATCGTACAGGGTAGACAATCCGCCAAATAATTTCCTGCCGCTGCATCCTTTGGTTGTCATCATGATCATTGCCTTGACCCGATGTACGCTAGTGCGCACCCATGATTCCGGATGATATAGCTAGGATCTCAGGTTATATGCTCGCGACATAGCTGCAAGGCGATCTATTAGTGTGCAGCCTTGACGACCTCGCGGAGTGACTGCGATAGAACCGCACCATGAATTGCAACACCAAGTCTGTCCTATCACTCTATGTTTTCATACAGAGCTGCATCCTTGTGCGCGCATAATAACTCTATAATACACTGCGAATAAAAAGGTCATCTTCATCAAAAACGCTACTTGCAGGTTGGCCAGCAACTGGCAATAATACGATGGGCAAAATATTACACGGAAGTTTCAAAATTGATCGCTAGCAGGAAGTAGAGAATGCATTGAATCTGAAAATTCGATTGCCCGATCGCAAGTCCTACGATCACGAGACATGTGCGGTATCAGGGCTGTGCTGCACTTTAGAGAGGTGAGCATGCCTGTGCGTCGTCCATAGTCTAGTCGACCCCATATCTTCCCTTCTAAAAAGACCTAGCAGCTTATCGTCACCTTGAAAGATCAAGCGAGCTGTAATGTGCACGCAAGCAGGGTCAGCCCAGAGTACGGGAGGATACCAGCTTTTTACCTGCAAGGCTTGAAAAGTAGAAAGGCGGATCATTTATGGCGATTCAGACTAACTTCAACGATACCTTTCTCGGCGGGTTCTGCTGCTACTGAGAGGCATCTCTCAAATATACGGGAAGGGTGCTTCAGAGTGGACGAATAACGGGGAAAAGTTGCGGGGTACCGCATGCCGGGTGGGCTTGGTGAAACTCAATGAAGCGCTGATAACTCTAAAGGCGTCGTTCTCGGTAAGAACCTCCACGTGCGACCTTCCCTCGGCGCCGGCCGTGCACGTACGCCACATGCAGGAAGCCGATGACATGCCGTTGAATGGCTGCCAGGATACATAACAGGATATCAGGAGGCGGTTGTGAAAGTGTGGGAAGGGTTTTCAATATGTGGAGTTGGGGAAAGTGGAGCTGGCTCCGATGGTTCACTAATGAAACGCGGAGAGTTTTGAACGTACATATTTGAGCAGTAATTTCTACAGTGGCAAGGTGGCAAGATCCGCCCAGCATTGCAAATGTTGAGGATCGCCAGCATAGAACCATGGCTACGCATGACAAGCGTCCGGAAGAGGAAATCCGGGAAATTTCAAGGCATCCCGCAAGACGATGGCTCTAGTGGCGGAAGAGGCTGAGGATCGGATGTTGAACAGTACGTGCCTTGGAACGAGCCCTTTCCTACAAGCACAATCAGAAAGTCCCCCGAGTACGGCTGTTCATAAACAGTGGGCCTAAATATCCAGTTTTCCTTGGTTGAACGAGGTTGGTGACAAAGATTGTCGTGGCGTGAAACACAACTTTGATAACGATATCTCTGCCTAGCATCAAGTACGAAGGGTCCGGCGCCTCTTTGTGTGGCGTCTGTTGAATACCTGATTCATTTGGGTGCTGATTGGTGCTAATTGGCGCTGGTTGATGTTTGATTCCTGTTTTGTACCCGTGCGAAGGCCAGAAGGATCCACGAACGAGTCAGTTCCAAGCACTATCGAGAAAGTTGCCATTAGGACGCAAAGGCCTCGGTAAGTCTGGGAATAAATGTGGCAAACTGAGGGCCTGTTCACTTCTCCATTTCCGTTGTGTTCTCGTGCTGGGTTTAGCGCTTCAACAAGGGAGGGCTGGCTAGCGTTGCAACTAGGCCATCTAGATTGGGAACGAAACGGAGGGGGTGTTCAGTTACTGGAGCTCCGTTTTATGGTCACGTCGGATCACGTAACGGGCTACTCTAACAGAACGGGCAGCAAAATAGAGCTTTCGGCTACCGCTAGAGCTTTGGAGGACTAGGAAGAAGAAATGGCGCTCCATTTCGTTTAATATAAAAAGCAGAATATATAGAGCAAAGTAGCACTGGATGGGGAGTTTTTTATTACGGGCGTAGGGCTAATATAATCTAGCGTCGTTTTAGGGTCGCGAGACCCTCATTTTTCGAATACGACACCGTTGCAGCTTGTTTTTCTCAGAGGGAATTGAGATAGTTACTAGAATAGGGTTAGTCGCCGGAAAACGGAAATGGAGGTGAACAGACCCTGAAGCGGTAAACTGCGAGCGGTCGTGTTGGCAACGGTTGCGTGCACGCTAGCTTACCGCATCGACTTTTGGGGCTGGGTTTGCCCCCACCTGTCCTGTCATCACGTCCCTCTTCCCGCCCTGTCGCCCTGTCACAATGACAGCGTGACATGTAAAAGCACACTCTCTCAGCTCGGCTAAGTGGCACTAGGATCGTGGCGGCCTGAAACTACTGAACGCCTGATGTATGTTCCGATGGCAGGGCGTGTGGGAGCAATCGTCAACCATGGCAAAAACCGGGTCGTCTTGGAAGTCACCAGCATGGGCTGGGTCGCATTGCAGCGGCGACAAAACGGGTCATGAGGTGGAGGAGGAGTTTGATTCCCAACAAGTTGCGCAGTGCCCGAGGGTGTCGGGGAAGAGGGAGAAGGGAAGGATATGGATGAGCAGCACACGGGCCTCGCACGTGGTAACGGGCACTAAGATGACGCCAGTGGCCGAACGTTGGCCCGAGCCAGACTTTTGCTCATTCCCGCGTGAGCAGTGCCTGGTTACTGGTTCCACTCATGATTGCGCGGTCAAATCACCCAATAGTTACAAAGGATGCGTGCGGCTTCGCGGCACGCTAGTCGGAAACATAGCGCTCGGACTCCTATTTGAAAAAAGTAAATGCACCGTGCCGGACGTTTATGGCATGCCTATGTCGGATTGGTACGTACCCTGTTGTCGATTCATGCACACGTTCTGCGCAAGCCCCCAGCTGCATTGAACCATGATCGACGAGTATGCCCCGCCTCTCTCATTACCGTCTGTGAACACGAAATGAAGGACGGGATGACCAAGACTGCTGTACGCGTACTGGCGTCACCGGAGAGCGAGTCGTTGAAAAGTATGCTTACATGCTTCCGCTGAGCGGTTGTGTCCAGTGGTGGCCTTGCAACTCTCATCACACGCTAGTTTTGCTGAAATAAACGAATATAAGCACTTAAAACATATATCGACTGTGCATAACAGTTCAGTGCTCCAGCCCACTATCTAAATGCTGGCTACGCTCCCAATTTGTTCACCTAGTTGACGTTCATCGATATGCCTGGTGGCACGAACCCCCCGTTGAGTGTTATAGCTTCGTGGCCGCCTCCCAACTATGTTAATCCAGAAGGACGAGGAAGAGTGACGTCCAACATCGCTTTCGTCCTAACGCCTATTACCTTTTTTACCGTATTCTCAAGACTGTGGGTTCGATTCTATATGCAGCGCAATGCTGGCTGGGATGACTGGCTCATGGTTGTTGCTCTTGTAAATTACCTTTCATTCCAGGACATTGTTCATTCACTTACTGTCTCACAGCCAATCGTCATGACTTTGGCTATTCTTATCCCATGGAGTAAGATTTTGACCCATCTTCCCTCCGGTTCACAGCTGACTCCTCATAGCTGCAGACAAATATCACAGCGGAGTGCACATATGGGATGTCGATCTCACCTTGTTTGAGGTTCAAAGAAAACTCATCTTGGCCATAGAGATCCTATTTGTCCTCGGCACAGGGCTTGTCAAAGTTTCTATCCTTCTCTTCTTCCGTCGCCTAGGTTCGCGCGGCACATCCAAAGCCTTTAGAATCACCACCTGGGTTGCAATTGGGTTCCAAGTCGCGTCCACAGTTACTTTCTTCATAAGTCCGCTTGTTGGATGCAAGCCCATCTCGGCTTACTGGGAGCAGTCGAACGTCATAAACATAGCGCTAGGAAAGAAATTCAACTGCAATGAGGAGGGCGCTGCCATGGCAGCCGCTGGCGTCATATCCACGGTGCAAGACGTAATCTGTGCTCTACTCCCCAACTTTATCTACTGGAAAGCTAAAATCCCAATTCGACAAAAAGTAGCACTGATGGCGATATTTGCTACTGCTTATGGAGCAGCTGTGTTTGGGGCTTTGCGAACATATGCCACCTACGTTCTTTTCTATGAAACGTACGATATCTCCTGGCAACTCTGGGAAATTTGGAACTGGACCCTCCTGGAGCTTCATATCGGTGTAATTTGCGCAAATGCGCCTGCTCTCAAGGTCTTCGTGAAGCGGTACCTCAACGTCAAATCTTTAGTCTCCAAGGGCCACGGCTCTTCGCAAGCGAAATCATCACAAGCGAAATCGTCGCAAGCAAAATCATCCCAAGCAAAGTCATCGCAGACGGCGAGCCAAGCGAACAGCACCCCCTCGGGAAAATCCAGAGCAAAGCTAGCCATATGGAAAAATTCTTTCGCGAACCACGGATATTATTCACAACCAACGCAACTATCTGTTCATGACCAAAGTGGTGTGCAGACTGGCGAAGAGTCGGATCAACATACGTCGCGTAATCCCAAAACCTCTAGGGATTCAAATTCAAGTCACGAACACTATGCGAATGATGATGTTGAGATGGGAATACTCAACAATGCCGCATCCTACCCGAGCCAGCCTCCGGAGGCACATAGGGGGAGTCGCGGTTTGGTATCTTTATATATGTACGATAGTGAGTTAGAGGATGAAAGCATGAGCCGAGGATTTCGACACATGAGAATTGAGGTATAAAATCTTACATTAAGACTGAAAACGAATAATGAAGTTATATGACATCTTGTACTATCGAATAGCGCGGTATTGAGTGGTATCTACGATTTTGTGAGGGCTGACCAGTATGACCAAATATCGCATCTTGTCCCACTGGCGTTGGTAATGATACAAGCGCACAGGAGTGTGGTAGACTAGAGCGCTGGGGTGGAAGTCGTACTCACAAGGAAGCCTTGAGACGAAATCTCATGTCGCCAGCCTTTTGACGACTGGGCATGCCAGCAATAGGACCAGTCGATGCTTTGAGCCTGGCCAATTTTGTGGTAATCATTATCATATTAGTACTCTCGTCGGCAGCTCCCACGTTCCCCCAAAGCTATGTACGTAGGAGATAGCTACAATCCCCTCTACTCGCTGATAACAAGCTCTCAGTCCTTCAATGCTACCTCCCTTAAACCCCCGATCTCAAATACTAATACCAGCCTACAAACTACTGCGGACGCCACGTAAAGGCATAGTACAGAGTTCAGTACGTCCCATACGCTCACCAATTGTAGTGATTAGAAGATAATGATGCCAAACATTAGATAGATAAATCCGCCACATCCAGCCAGCACGTTGGCAACGACCTCCAGAGGTGGTACTGCATTGTTCCCGTCATATTGACCCAACGATTGTTCGGCGCAAAGCGTGAATTCTTTTCCCAATAGTCCTATGATTTTGCGAAAACCTTTCGTGGCGTTCCAATTTCTGATTCCCTTATTCGCACTCTCTTGCCGTGAATGTGCACTGCTTCTCGCGTACGCAAAACTAAATGCCGCAACAAGATGGACTACGCCAGCGAGTGAAGTCCAGAGTAGAGGACCAAAAGTGGTTGTGCATCCCCAGCTCAGAATACTGTTACGACCAAGTTCCAAGCTTGTCCATACGATGTTGAAAACTGCACCTGCTACCAGCACATACTGTAGCACAGTCAGCAATCCTATAGCCTATTTGGAGTGCTTTGGGATGTGAATGCGGAGCAGAGTGCCGCGCGCGTCATTTTCCATGCCCTTCAGTACACGAGTTGGGTCATTATACTCAATTAATTTTGTTGGCCAGATTGATGGTGCGCCCAATGCGATTAGGAAACTCAGTGCTGGCCGATGGGCTGAAAGCAGCGCCATCTCAGCGATACTCGGTGCAATTGTTGACAGTAATGTTGGCATGAGGCCTAACACGACAGTTGCAGAAATGAAGTTCGCTAGTACGTCCGATGGCATGTTGTCCAGGATACATTTTTCATGTTCATAGCAGATCGACAGGAGCTGTTTGGCTACCAGTGAAGAAGGCAGGGCTGATTAGGTAATGTTGTAGTCTGTAAGGGTCGTGACGCATGTCACTCTTGATGCTTCGGCCAAGTGTGTAGCATACTTGTGGAAGAACGAACTGTATTGTGGAAACCAGAGTCGTGGGAAGAAATTGGATGCATGATAGCTAGAGCTGTACTGTTCGGCAGTGATGGGGAAGGCAAACAGATGACATATGAGGAGTAGGGGAAACTTCGAAAGCGTTGTGATAAGAAGCTTAGACTGACGGCGAATTCGACATTTGATGCGCACGTATATACTTATAAAAAGATCTATTTCGGCCCCCACAATTCAACTATCGCTTTTTGTGCTAATCACTAGCTCTAAGGCGCACTTGTAACGTGCTGGGAGTTTGCATGCGCGCGAGCGGTTTCAAATACCTCAAAATGTACGTTTGAAACATCACTTATTTTTTGACCGCTAATTCTCTCGAACGTTTTGCATTGTCGTATTGCCTTTTATATGTTTCTTAGTCTTTAAAAAACTAATGTCACTAAGAGAGATGCCATACATCACTCTCAGTCATGTATGCTTAACCGACTGCTTCGCGTGGTCGAGCTTCTGTTGTGACTCGATAAGCAAGGATTTTGTGATCCATCCACCCATTGGATTTTGTACGACTATAAAACATAATGAATTCTCGGGAAATCGCCGATGGCAATAACGCTGTGCCATTGATTTCTCTAGGGCTGAGTGAACGGGAAGCTTTGCGTTACGTGGTCTGGTAGCTATGTTTCAGCCTTGTGTGTTGTTCACTACCTTCATCCGCTCATTGGGCGTGTGGTCAATATCGGGCGCTTAGAGATATAATATTTGGCGCTACCGCTAACTTGATAAGGCGGTCTTCATAGGTCTGCTCCCCCAATAGTAAAGCTAATTGGCGCGAGATCGCCGCCTACGAGTTTGTCCGACGGCAGGCCGAAAGTGACATCTCTTGGATCTTCAAAGCAGTGTTTTAACATTGGAGGGGACTTACTGACCACGGCCGCCAGCTCTTACTTGATCACCATGATATGGTGGAGAACGCGCGTGCAGTCGCCAAATGTTTTACACAACGCCATGCCGCTGCGTTTCTCTACAGTTGGCACTCTTGCGGTAGTCTTTTGCTGTAGGTCAAACGATCCCACCTGCAGACAGCGCCAACACCTTGGCGGCAACACAGCTCTTTACTTCTGCATCTTAAATTGGTGGGTTCACGAAAGGCTGTCGGAGAAAATTGGCACAGACAAGGGCAAGTGAGCCAAGTATTGCTTCTATTTTAAGCTAGCTGTAGTAGCTGGACCTTTCTTTTACCCCACCCACTGATCGGTGAACAAAATGCAGATTTCTTTATCAATCCGAAGAAGGCTGAGGATCCTCGAATTAATGACCTAAATATAAATATCGATAGTGTGAACCCCGATTACACCCTACTAGTATATATTCTGCCTACTTTCAGCTCTCACTACTTTGTAAGTCTATAGTTTCAGTCGACGATTTGTTAGAACCATTAGCTCTATACCAGGCGACATGGGTGCTAAGAAGAAGATGCGCAAGTATACGATCTGTAATGAATTAGCAGTAAATCAACTTGACTATAGGTATTCAGAGATCGAAGGCTACCCATACTATATTACTGAACTAAGTGAATAAACTTCGAAAGCCGTTCAATAACTATTTCTAGATGTGAAATAATATGCTCAAAGTAGAACAGTGCTAGCAATTAAAGAAATGGAACTTGTTCTTCTCGTCACTGCTAGTTGATGTAGTTGGCGGAGTAGGGACCCTCTGCAACATGTTTGACATTTTGCAGTGGTTTCAATTATTGCTTAACACGATTGAATCATGCCTAAAAAGCGAAGATCCAACCCACAGCTCCGAACATTACTCTCATTCGACTTCGATCGTCGATCCGCTAGCACGACTAAATGGTCCCTCTATTGATACTTGTTACATTTTTTCAAGTTGAACTTCATTACGAAAAAGACGTAATAACCATGCGACCCTCTCGGATTTTATCACTCTACATCAAATCGACCAATTTTAGATACTGGACAATGCCATACTGTGTGCACTTGGGATGGATATTATGCTTGTAGGAAAAATCGATACAGCGTTTCATTTCGTCTGCTCACCCGGCAGATGCACCAACAATCTGGATAAGTCCACATGATACTGGAACTAATGGTATCGGTAGATCGTTTGGAGTAGTCTAGACGTTGGAGAAATGTCAGCTAAAAGTCGGGAATGCAAGTTCAAGGCTTAAGCCTGATTGCGTGCTTACCACCCCAACAACCATCAGTTTTCCACCAATGCGAATGATTGATAATCCAGACTCGTAAGCTTTGACACTACCACTGAGAATTGCCGCGACTGAGAATTGCCGCGGCATGGACCCCGCCTCTATTAACTTTCCGGATGTGGGTCACGAAATTAGGGTCTAGCGGATCCATGATCTTGGATGTTCCCGTTGAGCTTGTCCAATATCTATACCCGCAAATTTAAGACCAATTGCTACTACATATTGAACGGCTACGATAGTAAAGCTATTCTTAGCGAAGATCATAGACATCTCTTACCTAGACGTCTAAGACCACCAATGCTAACTACTGCGATCCACTAGCTAGGTGATAAGCTAGCTTTATCGATAGCATAGAGGGAAGTTAAAACAGCGCAGAATAAAGGCGCCATAGTCTTAGGATCCGTCCTACCTAATAGCTTTATAGCCTAACTCTTCTTAACTAGATTATATTTAGCGATCAACCTATTACTATAGAAGCTCCATCAGGTTACTAATAGATAGGTAATAAGTAAAATACTATATACTTCGCAGCTACTATATACGTTTAGATATAGAAGAAACTAACGGTCTTATTCTTCTTAAAGTAAGAAACTTAACCTCTAACCTTAATAACCGCTCTATAGACTTTATACCATAGTATTAAGGACGATTAGCTACCTCTACCTATTAGCTTAATATATCCTTTAAAGAGTTCTAAATTAGAGTAATAAAGTCTAGTAGCTTAGACCTTAGCGAGCATCTACATAGGTCCAGGCTTCAGGATTAGTATATTTTCCACTGTCACATGGCCATCTGGGCCAGGCCCATGGAAACGGCCTGCTTTCATTATCTTTGGCAGCTGTGATTGTCAATTGTTTCCGGTTGATGTAGCTTCGAAACTCAGCAGAAGGTATTAAGTTCCCACCCTGGCAAACTTAGCTATCCGTGGCTAGTAAGATTACCGATTGTATGGCAAGTCACGCAAAGGTCAAGGCAATTGCCATCTTTATAGGTTTGCGCAAGCCAAGCCGCTCATCCCGCGCCTCCCGCATTGATATCGACCCTAATACACTGTATGCTTACACTCAACCGTGGTCAGAAAGTACTTAAATCACTTCCTGCAGTTCCGTGCCCGTCGTACTGTCTCCGATTCTTCTTCGAATCATACTGCTAGGAAATTGTGCTCGAAGCTTTGCAACGACTATCCCAGCAGTCATGTAGTCTGTCACCTTTTTCTCACTATGCGCTTTGCTTGCCACACACATTGATTACAAGTGCTGAAAACTGCATTGCTTTCAGAGACCATACAAAAAAATAGTCTTCCTCCGGCTGGGAACGCAATAAATCCGTAGACAGGGAGCAGCGACGAGTCCATGTGGAATGTGGGTCCGTAGCCGAGCAATACACAAGATGCTTCTAATCCACGTTTTTAACGCAGCTGACGCTGGCACTTTCGTTTTTAGTTTAGCGCAAGAGATAGGACTTGCGTAGAATGCAGGCGGCAGTAACCCTGCGGGCTTAGCACAAACTATAAAGAATATAATTAAGGCAGCTAGTTTTGAGCTAAAGATAGCTTAGGTAGAAGCCGATAATATAACTAGCATAATATTTAAACTCCGCAAAAAAGGTAAGGTCTTTATCAGCATAGAAGACAGGGAATCGTTAGTAGAATAGGAAGGGGGACTAATGTATATGTGCACAATACTACGTGGCACAGAAACCGCGCACGCATTAGAGAGCGGCACTGACATTGTTGTGTGTGGTCTCGTGGCGGGTGCATCAGAATGAGAACTACGGTTGCTGATGCGAATGCAGGTAGCATGTATGGAACCTAGACAACAATCTGAACAAAATAGCTACTTCACTGGTTGCCAAGAGTCTAAAAGAGTGCAGTACCTATGTAACTGGCGGTTGCAACGTCGGTTTCAAACAATATCGGGATAGTTGTGCTGACCTTAGCTGATCCATCGCAAGTATTAATTCTCTCGGAATATTGTGGTGACCCTGGAGGACGACAAGGACGGTGAGGACTGCGAAGTCTCCTTCAGCACCATTGCATCGCAGCTAGTTTGCGAGATTTAAGGTCCTCTTTAGGGCAATTCCGACATCATCGCCAAGATGGAAACACCTCCAGGTTCAGAAAGTAGGTCGTGATCGCGTGCGTATCGCTGATGGCCAAAAGCTTCCCAGTGCCTGTAAATACTAAGGTCAGCATACTTGTAAGAGGTGAATATTGAGCGGAATTCCGATAACCCATCCCAGGGCTTGATATACATGGAAAGGTCCGGATGGCTGAGGAGGTGAAGGCACAGAGGAACTGCTGCCATTTCAGCAACAGAGCGCTGCGCTCAGGAGCTTCGATCTTGGTGCGGTAAACAGCGATCGTAGGATGAATCAGGGCAGCGTATTGCAGCGTTCTTGGAAAACCCTTCGCCATAGTGGTGTTGACGGCTCAAATCCGATGTGTAATTGAAGATGGCTGCTGTTTGTACGCTAGTATAATCACAATGACTGACATGCTTCGAATTCTATAAGAATCCCGCATCTATATCTAGAGCTTCGTAAAGGACTGGTTCAATGTCGTTGCTAGCTCGTGTTAAAACAATAAAAAGACTCGCACCCAATCTTGATGATAAAACTAGAGTTGTAGTGGGATAGCGCTGGCGCAGCTGAGATTCTGCTAAATGCAGTACAGCTGACACCATGCTCTGCTGTTGAGACGATACTGTAGTGACTATTTACATCAGCAGAAAATTGTTGTTCAAGTGTTTCGATGGCCAGTAAATCCTTCCTTCCATGTCTTTTGTTAAGTAGAGGATGATTTTGAGAAGCCGCGCTTAGATGTGAATTTAGTTTCATCTCTAGTAAGCGCATTGCAAAACATGTATACTTCAAATGAATGCCTACCCCACACATCTGCATGCATTACTAATAGTACTCCTTGATATTTGACAGGACATCCTTATAAGCTAGCCCGCTCGATAGCTTAACACAGTATATGTAGTCGCCCCACCCGCATCCCTCATATAGAAGAAATACCTTTTAGACAAATATTTGCATTTGCGTTTAGCGTTTGTGTTGAGCTCCGTAGGACAACAAGGGGAGCGAGAAGTGTGTGCGCACCCAAGTGCTCTCTGATGCAGTGGAATGAGTAGCTTCTCCAGCTTGGCGATTAGATTTGGTATAGCTTGCGCTAATACTAAAAGTCATTAAACAGCCACCAAAAGCGCTAACAGAGCTGAAACTGAAACTGGCAGCCAAACAGGTTGGCATTACCACATAAAGATCGCATAGCCTTTCGAGGGGCTATTGAAGCAATAACAATGCGTAAAAGTCGTAAGAGAAGGTCCATACAGGCAAATGAGACCCAAATAGTTGACGAGGTAACTGACCCAAAAGCTGAAGAAAAGAGTTTTGGGTGTGAAAAAGGTGAGAAGCCGGCAAAGGGGACACGCGCAGGGCGGTTTGCGGCCAGATAGTGCATAACTCCTAGTATGTCTCTCAGCAAGCTGTGCAGCCGGTTCAGGTGATGTAGCCACCCCCTTCACATGGAAAGTGATACACTTCTTGTCACGCTAGCACAGATCCGGAGGAAAAACAAACTCCACAAAGCAGGATAGCGACGAGAAGTGTATCACTCCTCGTGTGAAGGAGGTGCAGCAAAGGCACGATGCACGCCAAGCGAGGGGAACATGACCCAATAATGTAGTGTTGTGAAAAAGCAAGCTACTCATGAAGTCGATTGGTAAATCTGCGGGGTGACATCGCCGCAATTACTGATTGGCCAATTAATTAAAAATAGGCCCTAGAAGTGCATTGGATAAGGATATAACAGGTCGAGCAGCCGGGATCGTACCAAACCTTCTCTTCACCGATTAGAGCAGTTCTCGTCACACATGGTTTCCGCGGACCTGGTTGAAAGGGCCTTTAGTACGCTAACGGCTAGCTTAACCAATTATTCTTCTGATAAGTTGGCCGGGTATAGGGGTAGCTGTGCTACAATTCCTTTTTCTTCAGCCGCTTCCGTGGCTCGACTTAGTCAGTTCCGGGGAGACTTGATTTCTTACGCCATTAACTCGCTGGTGTACATAAAACATCACTACCAGGTCTTCTCAATTCAAATCGCAATCACAAAATAAACATGTCCACCACTACCAGTACTCATGTCGTAGCTCCATGGGGCTATGATTTGCTGCCTTCTCAGAAAGATGTCCGAGCGCAATGGAAATTCCAAATCTTCGGTTCGATAGTTTTGTGCGTATTTCTTTATTTGGTAGATGCCACGCAAGATACTAACATATTTTGTTCAGAGGCGGATATTATTGGGAGTAAGTCTTTTATATTAGCATGTATCTTCTGAATTGAAACGCATAATTCTAATCTAAGTTCTAGTACAATCATATCTCTTCCAAGAGATTTTCAATTCATCTTTCAGCGACGGTTCAACTATGCCACAGTTCTTTTCATTGTTAACAGGTAATATGATATTACGTTCTTCGTTTCCGGCCGTTGCAGAATATATACTGACTCAACAGGGTCTGCTGCATCATCACACTGACAAACTTCTGGATTTTTGCAGTTTATTCTGGCAGCCAGTGTTTACTCGTGTATAAAATTGCAGGCATCCTAGAACCAGTCACTATATTCACATCACAAGCTTTGTTGCTAATCAGGCACGTACTTCTATCTGAGAATCATGTTAATGTCCATGTGGTAAATTCCTAACATGCTTATAGAGTTCACGTTCTCTACCGAGATAATTGGTATCTCCTGATTTTCATGGTTCTGTTCTTGTGAGATTCGCTCCTTCTTGTGGAAGTCAAGCTTTTTAATTCAACATCAGATTCGCCGGTCCAATATTGGCTCTCGTAGAGGCTTTTAGAACAACTGCATCAAATCTTCCAGGAAGCGTTGGTTGCATATTCGGCCCATCTTCACCTTATATATATTTGGTGTTTCTATTGCAAGCCTCATTCGACTGTTTATGTTTCATCCTTTGCATGTATAAGGTGAGCTATCCGAAGAAATCGTCTCCCCTTGAAAATCACTATAAGTTGGCATTGTGCATGGCTAATCTATCGTAGCTCTCCAGAGTGGGACAGGGAGGTGGATTCATGAGGATTGGAAAAGAAATGGTAAATGGTGGTGTAAGTGGGATGATTCTTATGAACGCCACTTCCTGACGGCCTTATCTAACTTGATCACTCAGCTGGTTTACTATATTCCCAATGTCGTCATACAAATTGCAACAATCATTTTGACCTCACAAAAGGGTATCGAAGATCAGTTCATTTTGCCACCCGCGGCAGATGGGATTGCTTCAGCTCAGGCTCTTAGAATTACACGCAACCTGTGGAGAAGCGGTCAAAAACAGACATATCAGATGGAAGACCCAATGAGCTTAACTGCCATATGTTCCAAAGAAGGAACTCTCCCTGGTGATGGCAAGGTAGACGTTTATCCGGTATCTATGCCAAAAGGTGATGATCCCCGCAGGGTAGAGATGACGTGATTGATATGACGCCAGGAGATGGGAATCGTTAAAGTAAATCGTATTGTATATGGATGGCTATGTAGCTTAAGAGTCACGGTCTCTTTTGAATACAATCTCTTGTATAATAACTATTCACTTTCTAGCTAGGCTACGAGCCTCACCTGTATTTAGATGACCCCCTCCCCTACCTACACCAAATTGATAGCACTACGTAGTTACCTGTAGGCCTAGCCTACACGTCTTATATAGCCCACCGGCTGACACAGGACGTTAA